TTACTGGTGCGTTACCTGGCGCATTACTGGTGCGTTACCTGGCACATTACTGGCGCGTTACCTGGCACATTACTGGTGCGTTACCTGGCGCATTACTGGTGCGTTACCTGGCGCATTACTGGTGCGTTACCTGGCACATTACTGGCGCGTTACCTGGCACATTACTGGTGCGTTACCTGGCACATTACTGGTGCGTTACCTGGCGCATTACTGGTGCGTTACCTGGCACATTACTGGCGCGTTACCTGGCACATTACTGGTGCGTTACCTGGCGCATTACTGGTGCGTTACCTGGCGTATTACTGGTGCGTTACCTGGCGCGTTACCTGGCGCGTTACCTGGCACATTACTGGTGCATTACCTGGCGCGTTACCTGGCACATTACTACTGCATTACCTGGCGCGTTACCTGGCGCGTTACCTGGCACATTACTGGCGCGTTACCTGGCACATTACTGGCGCGTTACCTGGCACATTACTGGTGCGTTACCTGGCGCATTACTGGTGCGTTACCTGGCACATTACTGGCGCGTTACCTGGCACATTACTGGTGCGTTACCTGGCGCATTACTGGTGCGTTACCTGGCGCATTACTGGTGCGTTACCTGGCACATTACTGGCGCGTTACCTGGCACATTACTGGTGCGTTACCTGGCACATTACTGGTGCGTTACCTGGCGCATTACTGGTGCGTTACCTGGCACATTACTGGCGCGTTACCTGGCACATTACTGGTGCGTTACCTGGCGCATTACTGGTGCGTTACCTGGCGTATTACTGGTGCGTTACCTGGCGCGTTACCTGGCGCGTTACCTGGCACATTACTGGTGCATTACCTGGCGCGTTACCTGGCACATTACTGGTGCATTACCTGGCGCGTTACCTGGCGCGTTACCTGGCACATTACTGGCGCGTTACCTGGCACATTACTGGCGCGTTACCTGGCACATTACTGGCGCGTTACCTGGCACATTACTGGTGCGTTACCTCGCGCGTTACTGGTGCGTTACCTGGCACATTACTGGCGCGTTACCTGGCACATTACTGGCGCGTTACCTGGCACATTACTGGTGCGTTACCTGGCACATTACTGCTGCGTTACCTGGCACATTACTGGTGCGTTACCTGGCGCGTTACTGGTGCGTTACCTGGCACATTACTGGCGCGTTACCTGGCACATTACTGGCGCGTTACTAGTGCGTTACCTGGCACATTACTGGCGCGTTACCTGGCACATTTCTGGCGCGTTACCTGGCGCATTACTGGTGCGTTGACTGGCGCGTTACTGGTGCGTTACCTGGCACATTACTGGTGCGTTACCTGGCACATTACTGGTGCGTTACCTGGCGCATTACTGGTGCGTTACCTGGCACATTACTGGTGCGTTACCTGGCATATTACTGGCGCGTTACCTGGCACATTACTGGTGCGTTACCTGGCGCATTACTGGTGCGTTACCTGGCACATTACTGGTGCGTTACCTGGCACATTACTGGTGCGTTACCTGGCACATTACTGGTGCGTTACCTGGCACATTACTGGTGCGTTACCTGGCACATTACTGGCGCGTTACCTGGCACATTACTGGTGCGTTACCTGGCGCATTACTGGTGCGTTACCTGGCACATTACTGGTGCGTTACCTGGCACATTACTGGTGCGTTACCTGGCACATTACTGGTGCGTTACCTGGCACATTACTGGCGCGTTACCTGGCACGTTACTGGCGCGTTACCTGGCGCATTACTGGTGCGTTACCTGGCGCGTTACCTGGCGCATTACTGGTGCGTTACCTGGCGCGTTACCTGGCGCGTTACCTGGCACATTACTGGTGCGTTACCTGGCACATTACTGATGCGTTACCTGGCGCATTACTGGTGCGTTACCTGGCGCTTTACCTGGCGCGTTACCTGGCACATTACTGGTGCGTTACCTAGCACATTACTGGCGCGTTACCTGACACATTACTGGTGCGTTACCTGGCACATTACTGGTGCGTTACCTGGCACATTACTGGTGCGTTACCTGGCACATTACTGGCGCGTTACCTGGCACATTACTGGCGCGTTACCTGGCACATTACTGGCGCGTTACCTGGCACATTACTGGTGCGTTACCTCGCGCGTTACTGGTGCGTTACCTGGCACATTACTGGCGCGTTACCTGGCACATTACTGGCGCGTTACCTGGCACATTACTGGTGCGTTACCTGGCACATTACTGCTGCGTTACCTGGCACATTACTGGTGCGTTACCTGGCGCGTTACTGGCGCGTTACCTGGCCCTTTACTGGCGCGTTACCTGGCACATTACTGGCGCGTTACTCGTGCGTTACCTGGCACATTACTGGCGCGTTACCTGGCACATTTCTGGCGCGTTACCTGGCGCATTACTGGTGCGTTGACTGGCGCGTTACTGGTGCGTTACCTGGCACATTACTGGTGCGTTACCTGGCACATTACTGGTGCGTTACCTGGCGCATTACTGGTGCGTTACCTGGCACATTACTGGTGCGTTACCTGGCATATTACTGGCGCGTTACCTGGCACATTACTGGTGCGTTACCTGGCGCATTACTGGTGCGTTACCTGGCACATTACTGGTGCGTTACCTGGCACATTACTGGTGCGTTACCTGGCACATTACTGGTGCGTTACCTGGCACATTACTGGTGCGTTACCTGGCACATTACTGGCGCGTTACCTGGCACATTACTGGTGCGTTACCTGGCGCATTACTGGTGCGTTACCTGGCACATTACTGGTGCGTTACCTGGCACATTACTGGTGCGTTACCTGGCACATTACTGGTGCGTTACCTGGCACATTACTGGCGCGTTACCTGGCACGTTACTGGCGCGTTACCTGGCGCATTACTGGTGCGTTACCTGGCGCGTTACCTGGCGCATTACTGGTGCGTTACCTGGCGCGTTACCTGGCGCGTTACCTGGCACATTACTGGTGCGTTACCTGGCACATTACTGATGCGTTACCTGGCGCATTACTGGTGCGTTACCTGGCGCGTTACCTGGCGCGTTACCTGGCACATTACTGGTGCGTTACCTAGCACATTACTGGCGCGTTACCTGACACATTACTGGTGCGTTACCTGGCACATTACTGGTGCGTTACCTGGCACATTACTGGTGCGTTACCTGGCACATTACTGGCGCGTTACCTGGCACATTACTGGCGCGTTACCTGGCACATTACTGGCGCGTTACCTGGCACATTACTGGTGCGTTACCTGGCGCGTTACTGGTGCGTTACCTGGCACATTACTGCTGCGTTACCTGGCACATTACTGGCGCGTTACCTGGCACATTACTGGCGCGTTACCTGGCACATTACTGGTGCGTTACCTGGCGCGTTACTGGTGCGTTACCTGGCACATTACTGGCGCGTTACCTGGCACATTACTGGCGCGTTACCTGGCACATTACTGGTGCGTTACCTGGCACATTACTGCTGCGTTACCTGGCGCGTTACTGGTGCGTTACCTGGCACATTACTGGCGCGTTACCTGGCACATTACTGGCGCGTTACCTGGCACATTACTGGTGCGTTACCTGGCACATTACTGCTGCGTTACCTGGCACATTACTGGTGCGTTACCTGGCGCGTTACTGGTGCGTTACCTGGCACATTACTGGCGCGTTACCTGGCACATTACTGGCGCGTTACCTGGCGCGTTACTGGTGCGTTACCTGGCACATTACTGGCGCGTTACCTGGCACATTACTGGCGCGTTACCTGGCGCATTACTGGTGCGTTGACTGGCGCGTTACTGGTGCGTTACCTGGCACATTACTGGCGCGTTACCTGGCACATTACTGGTGCGTTACCTGGCGCATTACTGGTGCGTTACCTGGCACATTACTGGTGCGTTACCTGGCACATTACTGGCGCGTTACCTGGCACATTACTGGTGCGTTACCTGGCGCATTACTGGTGCGTTACCTGGCACATTACTGGTGCGTTACCTGGCACATTACTGGTGCGTTACCTGGCACATTACTGGTGCATTACCTGGCACATTACTGGTGCGTTACCTGGCACATTACTGGCGCGTTACCTGGCACATTACTGATGCGTTACCTGGCGCATTACTGGTGCGTTACCTGGCGCGTTACCTGGCACATTACTGGTGCGTTACCTGGCACATTACTGGCGCGTTACCTGACACATTACTGGTGCGTTACCTGGCACATTACTGGTGCGTTACCTGGCACATTACTGGTGCGTTACCTGGCACATTACTGGTGCGTTACCTGGCACATTACTGGTGCGTTACCTGGCACATTACTGGCGCGTTACCTGGCACTTTACTGGTGCGTTACCTGGCACATTACTGGTGCGTTACCTGGCACATTACTGGTGCGTTACCTGGCACATTACTGGTGCGTTACCTGGCACATTACTGGTGCTTTACCTGGCACATTACTGGTGCGTTACCTGGCGCATTACTGGTGCGTTACCTGGCACATTACTGGTGCGTTACCTGGCACATTACTGGTGCGTTACCTGGCACGTTACCTGGCGCGTTACTCATCTAGATGCACCCATAAAGGTACACAATATTCGTCAACATTTACTGACCTCAAAATATTCCCCAACATGTACTTTGATGTACTCACTTTGATGTACTCACCTTGATGTACTCACCTTGATGTACTCACCTAGACAGGCTAACTTTGGAGTACTTATCTAGATGTACTCACCTTGATATGCTCACCTAGAAATACTTGCATTGTTTCCCTCACCTAAATATACTCACCCAGATGTTGTCATATAAGTACTCTCCCAGTTATACTTACCTAGATTGTCTGCCGTAGACATATTCACCTGGATGTACTCGCCTAGATATACTCAGCTAGATATATTCAGCTAGATGTACTCATCTAGATATACTCAGTTAGATGTACTCACTTAGATATACTGGAAGTGAGGGCCTGTCACCTGGGGACCGTCTAAGGACGTGAGTGTATATACAAGACAACAACATGACTGTCAAGGCGTGTGACAATGCACAAGCAACAAGGTGTCAACGAAGGTCTCAGGGTGTGACCACTGTCAAGGCGTGTGACAATGCACAAGCAACAAGGTGTCAACGAAGGTCTCAGGGTGTGACCACTGTCAAGGCGTGTGACAATGCACAAGCAACAAGGTGTCAACGAAAGTCTCAGGGTGTGACCACTGTCAAGGCGTGTGACAATGCACAAGCAACAAGGTGTCAACGAAGGTCTCAGGGTGTGACCACTGTCAAGGCGTGTGACAATGCACAAGCAACAAGGTGTCAACGAAGGTCTCAGGGTGTGACCACTGTCAAGGCGTGTGACAATGCACAAGCAACAAGGTGTCAACGAAGGTCTCAGGGTGTGACCACTGTCAAGGCGTGTGACAATGCACAAGCAACAAGGTGTCAACGAAGGTCTCAGGGTGTGACCACTGTCAAGGCGTGTGACAATGCACAAGCAACAAGGTGTCAACGAAGGTCTCAGGGTGTGACCACTGTCAAGGCGTGTGACAATGCACAAGCAACAAGGTGTCAACGAAGGTCTCAGGGTGTGACCACTGTCAAGGCGTGTGACAATGCACAAGCAACAAGGTGTCAACGAAGGTCTCAGGGTGTGACCACTGTCAAGGCGTGTGACAATGCACAAGCAACAAGGTGTCAACGAAGGTCTCAGGGTGTGACCACTGTCAAGGCGTGTGACAATGCACAAGCAACAAGGTGTCAACGAAGGTCTCAGGGTGTGACCACTGTCAAGGCGTGTGACAATGCACAAGCAACAAGGTGTCAACGAAGGTCTCAGGGTGTGACCACTGTCAAGGCGTGTGACAATGCACAAGCAACAAGGTGTCAACGAAGGTCTCAGGGTGTGACCACTGTCAAGGCGTGTGACAATGCACAAGCAACAAGGTGTCAACGAAGGTCTCAGGGTGTGACCACTGTCAAGGCGTGTGACAATGCACAAGCAACAAGGTGTCAACGAAGGTCTCAGGGTGTGACCACTGTCAAGGCGTCTGACAATGCACAAGCAACAAGGTGTCAACGAAGGTCTCAGGGTGTGACCACTGTCAAGGCGTGTGACAATGCACAAGCAACAAGGTGTCAACGAAGGTCTCAGGGTGTGACCACTGTCAAGGCGTGTGACAATGCACAAGCAACAAGGTGTCAACGAAGGTGTCAGGGTGACACCACACAGATCATGATCTAAGATATCCTGACCAACAACATGGGAATAATCCACAGACAACGACACTAGATTATACACAGGTGAAGCACAAAGGTGAAGCACAAAGGTGAAGCACAAAGGTGAAGCACAAAGGTGAAGCACAAAGGTGAAGCACAAAGGTGAAGCACAAAGGTGAAGCACAAAGGTGAAGCACAAAGGTGAAGCACAAACGTGAAGCACAAAGGTGAAGCACAAAGGTGAAGTACAAAGGTGAAGCACAAAGGTGAAGCACAAAGGTGAAGCACAAAGGTGAAGCACAAAGGTGAAGCACAAAGGTGAAGCACAAAGGTGAAGCACAAAGGTGAAGCACAAACGTGAAGCACAAACGTGAAGCACAAAGGTGAAGCACAAAGGTGAAGTACAAAGGTGAAGCACAAAGGTGAAGCACAAAGGTGAAGCACAAAGGTGAAGCACAAAGGTGAAGCACAAAGGTGAAGCACAAAGGTGAAGCACAAACGTGAAGCACAAAGGTGAAGCACAAAGGTGAAGTACAAAGGTGAAGCACAAAGGTGAAGCACATAATATCAAACTCTCACCCAACACAAGACATTGTTATACACACCAGACCCTCTTCTACACCTGGGATTGTTAACACTTTACCATGACACCCTCCACAGTGTTACCCAACATGCCCCACATGCCCCCCCTGCCCCACATGCCCCACATGCCCCCCCGGCCCAACATGCCCCACATGCCCCCCCTGCCCCACATGCCCCACATGCCCCCCCCGGCCCCACATGCCCCACATGCCCCACATGCTCCACATGCCCCCCCTGCCCCACATGCCCCTCTGTCCCACATGCCCCATATGCCTCACATGCCCCCCCTGCGCCACATGCCCCACATGCCCCCCTGCCGCACATGCCCCATATCCCCCCCTGCCCCACATGTCCCCCTGCCCCACATGCCCCACATGCCCCACATACCCCCCCTGCCCCATATGCCCCCCCTGCCTCACATGCCCCCCCTGCCCCCCTGCCTCCCCTGCCCTACATGCCCCCCCCTGCCCCACATGCCCCCCTGCCCCACATACCCCCCCTGCCCCACATGCCCCTCTGTCCCACATGCCCCATATGCCCCACATGCCCCCCCTGCGCCACATGCCCCATATCCCCCCCTGCCCCACATGTCCCCCTGCCCCACATGCCCCCCCTGCCCCACATGCCCCCCCTGCCCCACATGCCCCCCTGCCCCACATGCCCCCCTGCCCCACATGCCCACCCTGCCCCACATGCCCCACATGCCACACATGCCCCTCTGCCCCATATGACACACATGCCTCCCCTGCCCCACATGCCCCTCCCCTGCCCCACATGCCACACATGCCCCTCTGCCCCACATGCCCCCTGCCCCACATGTCCCCCTGCCCCATATGACACACATGCCCCCCTGCCCCACATGCAACCCCTGCCCCACATGCCCCCCTGCCCCACATGCCCCCCTGCCCCCCCTGCCCCACATGCCCCCCCTGCCCCACATGCCACACATGCCCCCCTGCCCCCCCTGCCCCACATGCCCCCCCTGCCTCACATGCCCCACATGCCCCACATGCCCCCCATGCCCCACATGCCCCCCATGCCCCCCCTGCCCCACATGCCCCCCATGCCCCCCTGCCCCACATGCCCTATATGCCCCACATGCCCCAGTTAGAGAAATAATGGCTATCACAAATGCACAAGCTAGCGACAACTGCGGAGATTTTCACTGTTGTTTTGCGTAAATCAAAACCTAGACTCAAGACGCAGTTACTGACTCTCACATTTCATTCTAACAACAACTTTTGTTTAATTGTTCTGAGATTGAGTCCCATTGCCTCATAATTTGGTTCCCATACCCGCCAAGGGGCACAGACACTCGTGGTTAATGACCGCTGCTCCAGACCAAGAGGGAACTTCCTCCTTACACCACAGCGACTGTTACAGCCAACCTTAACTATGTATCCCCCCACTTCAACCCTTGCTACTTAGTGAAGTGTTCTCTCACCTGGTTATATATCCACCTCCCTCTCTCTCCCTACATGTTGGACACTCTTCCTTCACTCACACGATTCACACCACATATATAGTTTTCAGTTGCATATAGTCCTGGGGACCATTCAGGCTTGTTCGCATTTGTGTTCCTCACGTCTGCCCCAAAGAATGAGGTGATTTGATAAAATGCTATGCCCAAGATTACCATCCGAGTGCCGGCGGGGGGGGGGGGGGGGCTGTTCAAATAGCTTCGGCTATCACCTCATTATGTCCGGTCGTGATGGTCAAGCGGATTAAGGCGTCTTGTACATACCAGTTGCGTTGCTCCTGGGAGTATGGGTTCGAGTCACTTCTGGGGTGTGAGTTTTCAGTTGCATATTGTCCTGGGGACCATTCAGGCTTGTTCGCATTTGTGTTCCTCACGTGTGCCCAAAGAATGAGGTGATTTGGTAAAATGCTATGCCCAAGATTACTATCCGAGTGCCGGCGGTGGGGTGGTTCAAATAGCCTCGGCTATCACCTCATTATGTCCGGTCGTGATGGTCAAGTGGATTAAGGCTTCTTGTACATACCAGTTGCGTTGCTCCTGGGAGTATGGGTTCGAGTCACTTCTGGGTGTGAGTTTTCAGTTATATATATATATATATATATATATATATATATATATATATATATATATATATATATATATATATATATATATATATATATATATATTAGTATATTTTGATAGCAGTCTTTCCTGTAGACATATATTATTAAATATGACCGAAAAAGTAAGATTAATAATTCTAACACGAATTTTCTCTATCTTTCTTATGTTTCTTTTCACTGTTGATGGTAATTCAAAGATCAATTCTCCAAAATTCATTTTTATTTCTAGTCTGACGCGACACTTGAGCGCGTTTCGTAAAACTTATTACATTTTCAAAGACTTTAGTTCACAAACACACAATTAAAACTGAATAGAGCTTTACACATCTTCGAGGTTTATATCTACATAAACCTGGAAACCCACTTCGGCCAATCATTAGCCAGATACCCACACCCACGTACAGACTGGCGAAGCGACTCAACGGCCTGCTGACTCCTTATGTTCCTTGCGCCTTCAGCCTGAAGTCTCCAAAGGAATTTGTGGACTTACTGCGGGGCACACGGGCCACAGGGATAAGAGCCTCGTTGGACGTAGAATCGCTGTTTACCAACGTACCTGTGGACGAGACAATCGGAATGATAGCCGACAGAGTGTATCGTGATCCAGCCTGTACTCCTCTTGACATGCCAGAAAGTATTCTGAGGAAACTACTCCAAGCTTGTACTAAAGAGGCACCCTTCTTGAGCCCGGATGGGCACATGTATAAGCAAGTAGATGGGGTCGCCATGGGTTCTCCCCTAGGTGTCCTGTTTGCAAACTTCTACATGGGTACCATCGAGCAAAAAGTCTTAGTCGACATGAACTTGAAACCGGCCATATACTGCAGGTATGTTGACGACATTTTTACACAGGTACCTGATGTCAGACATCTGCAGGAGCTGAAGGAGGCATTTGAGCAGAGTTCCGTGCTGCGTTTCACTTACGAGACGGAAAAGGATGGGAAGCTGCCTTTTCTAGATGTAACAGTCATGGAAAAGGGCGGAGGTTTCCACACTGCAGTCTACACTAAGGAAACAAACATAGGAATGTGCCTAAATGCCAACAGCGACTGCCCCGACAGGTACAAGAGGAGTGTTGTTAACGCATACGTCGACCGTGCTCTCAGCCACAGCTCAGAATGGAAGCAAGTCGACGAAGAACTCTGTAGGGTAAGGCAGGTTCTAGTCAATAACGGCTTCTCCAATGGTTTCATCGAAGACATCATAAGAAGGAAAGTGAAAAGCCATGCAACCTCTGAAGAGACAACTAACACAACACCTATACCCCCTATTAGACTATTTTACAGGAACTTCTTTTCCACAGCTCATAAAACGGAGGAAAGGGTCCTGAAAGATATTGTTAATAGAAACGTTATCCCTACAGACAAAAATCAGAGGATACAACTGACGATTTACTATAAAACCAGAAAAACGGCCAGCCTACTCATGAGAAACTCTCCAGACACAAAACAGAACGCTTTAAAAGAGACTAACGTCGTCTATGCCTTCAAATGCCCGCTTGGGGACTGTAAGCTCCAAAAAACCCAGTATATAGGCAAGACAACAACATCTCTTTCTAGGCGTTTAACGATGCATAAGCAACAGGGCTCCATTAAGGAACATATAATCTCTTCCCATAACCAAACCATCGCCAGAGAAATCCTAGTAAACAACACAGAAATCATCGATAGATACAGCGATAGCAGGCGGCTTGACGTTTGCGAGGCACTACACATCAAGAAGTCAACACCAGCAATCAACAGCCAATTATTGCACAACTATATTCTACCCACCTCAAGACTCCGCTCCAATATAGAAGCATCAAGAAATATGGACCAATAGGCTTTCTACAAACACTTCTATTCAATACCCATTGTTTTCTGTTCTGTCTTGTGTTGGTACTTTTAATACCCTATTAATATCCCCTGTTCTGTCTTGTGTTAATGCCACATCATCCTTCCCACCTCACTCAAATGTAGATATAATATCAGAGAGACGTAAGTTCTAATCAGTTGTGTATTTGTGAAGTCTTTGAAAATGTAATAAGTTTTACGAAACGCGCCCGTGTCGCGTCAGACTAGAAATAAAAATGAATTTTGGAGAAGTGATTTTTGATTTACCTCCAACAGTGAAGCGTAATGTACGAAAGATTGAGAAAATTCGTGTTAGAATTATTAATCTTACTTTTTCGGTCATATTTAATAATATATGTCTACAGGAAAGACTGCTACCAAAATATACTAATATATATATATATATATATATATATATATATATATATATATATATATATTATTAATATGACCGAAAAAGTAAGATTAATAATTCTAACACGAATTTTCTCAATCTTGCGTTTCTCTGATTTTATATCTACATTTG